CTCCTGAATACAGGGGTTGCCCATCACCTGTTACTTACAACAGCCAAATCAAACCGAATAGGGGATTGACCAAATTGCCCATCTCCTCGCATGATAAGCTTGCCATCAATCCTAGTGTCTGAAATTCCGAAAACTTTGAAGCGATGCACTGTGCTTCTCAGGTGACATTGTCATTGCTGCTATTGTTTACATCTTGAAAGAAGGATTTTGCAGCTTCATAAGTCGACCAGCAAATTGCAGCAGCTGGAGCATGGAAGAGCACCCTCGGCATCCATCCTCTCATTAGACCAACATATCCATCTCTCTTCACTATTGTTCGAGAAACGTCCCTGATCGAACCATTAACATATCTATCGCATCCACACACGCCCTGCATGGTAACCACAAAGTTCTTTAAGATTTATTTAAAGAGAATTCTATATTAGAGCATTTAAGAATGCTGGCTAATGCAGATACTCGGCAATTTCTGCAGGCAGCATAGCCTTCTAGTATTCAAATGAACCAACGTTCTTGATATGTCTCAGATTGTTTATTCATTTTAACTGCATCACTTGTTGATTTCAAAAGAAAGTGGAGTAATGTATTTAACAAAGGACATCATCACTCATCACCTCATTATAACGCAAAATTTTGCTATATATACATTTTCAGTAAATAACAAGTGAAGCAGATAGAAAAACCAAAACAAATCACCAAGTTACCTATGCAGGAGAAATTGTAGATACGTAAACAAAATCAGACGAGCAAAATCTACACTGGGGCCAAGAAGGAACAAATTCAATTTCCCCATAAAACTCTATAGTTTGGTTCCTCCGCTTCTAAAGACAAAGGCACTTAATAACAAAATACTTATCCAGAATGCCTGTTTCAATATAACTAGTTTCCATGTAAAAATGTAAGAAATGCCTCCACATTATGGATCTACTAGTTTATACATAAATTATATGATGAAAAGTCTAAATTGCCAAACTTTGGTCTTTTGCTGCCATAACTAAATACAAATTCCATGTAAGTATAACAAAACACAAAATTCCGTGAAATTTCAATTGAGAGCTTTTATATACACTCCCCACATTAACCTCTAAACCTTCCAAATAGAACACTTCATAATCACAAGTTCACTGCTATCCTTAACAGTTTGATTTTAAATTTATATTTTAGCAATCTAACACTTCACCCATTAAAACCTACACCACAACCCCTCGCATCTCTCCACCACCCAACCCCTTCTCATCACACTGTCACTACCTCAGAACTACCACATTATCACCTACCACATATGAAAACCAAGTTGTACAACTTCTGCCATTCTACAAATGTAGATATCCCGTCATAATTCTTACTCAACCGTACCCAAACACATTTTCACCACCTTCAAGAAAATTTTAACGAAAGTTAATCCTTTCACTACAAACAACATCTTAAAGGCACTCGTCCACTTAGTCTAACAATCCTTGACCTCTGAATACCATCTCAGACGTCCCACCCCATGAATAATCAAGTCAAAGCATTGAAATCTACTTCATGAGCTCCATACATCAATACCTCCCAAAAGGTACTTCTACAGCAACTAAAATTATACACAAAGTACTCAGCACTCAAACTAACATTAAAATCTTTTGCCTAAAGAAGATCGTTCAAAAGCTGACAATTTCAGCAAAACCAGAGAGGCTAATGTGTAATCTTGTCCCTGCCATTGTCTCTAAATAGATTGCTAAAGGCAACATGGTACTACTCCAATTGAACCTTGGAAAATAGCAAACATCGTCCAATCTTTAATGATTTCAACCAGAATTTGCAAAGTGAAACAACAAAGATAACTGTCTGTCATATCTAAATTAGGATCTCTTCAATTTTATTTTCTTTTTCCAAGAGCAACAGAATATCAGAAAATAAGTCAATAATTCAGCCCATATAAGACACATTTTAACAGTCCAATTATGTTTACTCTTTACAGTGTTCATTACTCAACCCTGAGGGTTGCTCAATTGGTCAGCCTTGGGTTTGCTCCCCAATGGTCACCAGTTCGAGTCCCCTCAGGGCCACTGAGGTGAGTATCCGACCGTAAACTTCAGGGTCCCGTGAAATTAGTCGAGGTGCGAGCAAGCTGGCCAGAAATCCACGGTTATCATAAAAAAAAGTGTTCATTACTCCACAAATTGTAGAGTCCTGAAATAAAAAGTACTGAAAAGCAGCTCTGCAATTGTATTATATATTACAAGTAAACATCAATTCATTTTCTGACGAAAAATAAATCAGAGCATAATGCACACCTAAAGAACCAAGATTTATACACTAATTTCAAATAAATAAAAATATATTTTAGTACCTGACACTGTAACTGAGTCTTCACAACATCAAGTGGGGTCGTAACTGCAGCAGCCAATGTTCCCGCTAAAGCTCCAGCCGTGGCATGAACCACCAACCTCTCATCGCTCACACTTTCTGGTGACACCTCCATCAAAGCCCTTTTAGCTGCCTCATAGGTTGCAAAATGAACTGCAGTGAAAGGTGCATTCATTAGCACGGTGGTCCTATAGGAAGCATAGAAGGCTCTAAATCCCTCCTCCCTCAGTACCCTCTTTACGCAGTCCCACACCCCCGTATACGGACTACTACTCAATTGCAGCCTCTGCTTAACCATATCCATAGGAGTAAATACCGCATCACTAGCAGTAGTTGCAAAAACCCCTGACACAGCGTGGGCTACATGATTGTTTGGATTTCCACGCGAAAAACTCTTCTTACAAAATTCATAAACAGAAAAATAAACAGCATGGGCCGGACCGGCGCCCAGACCCATAGCACCGATGCCGCGATAAAAACCTATTGGCCCTTCAGATTTCAAAATAGATAGTACAGCCTGTTTGACGCTCGCTGATTTAACAGGGCAAGAGACAATGGCTTGCATCTGGGTTTTGATTGTATCAACGGGGAACATTGCCATGTGCTCCACCATACCGGCGATTGAGCCGGCGATCATGAACTGCCAAAAGTGGAGGCCGTCGTGCGCCGGCGAAACGGTAATCTCCGGGTGGTAGTCTGGCGGCTGAGGGACCGGTATCAGGTCCGATTTTTTTAATTTCGGCGAGGCATTGGTAGCCATTGAAAAATCTAAACCCAGGAACACGCTAGGTTAGAGAATTGGGTTAAAATCAGTTATTGCGTACAAAGGGTTTAGCTAGATATGGGCTATGGAGGATTAAAGTTAAACCGATTGGCGGTGGGTTACCAATTACGTGGTGAAATAGAAGATTGGACAATGGTCAAGATCGGAATATTTTGGATTCGAGGAATGGAAAATTCAAACCGGAGTTCCAGAAATTTGGGGGGTTTTGCAGTAAATTTTGAATATTATATTATTAATACAAATTAACTGCAGCTGTAATAACTTCTGACTTCGGCTTCAATTTCTTTTCCCTCAGCCTGTTTTTCTTTTACCCCGACGAGCCCACCCAAAGGAAGCATGCAATTAGAGATGATAAATATAAACTCGGCCTGGATCGCTCGATCATCTTGGAGACTATCGACTTGCATTATTAATGGGTCGGGCCAGTTGACAAAATTAGTCCAGAATAATATGTTCATACAAAACTATAATAACAGAACCATTTAAAATTTAAATTTTGTCAAAAAAAATAATTTTTTTTACTACCATTTTGTTATTGAGTCGAGATTACCACTATTTTTTTCTTTTTAAAATTACGATATTGTTTTTCTTTATTTCATTGAGCTATTAGTTTATTACCTATAAATACTAAAGTTTAAATTGAAGAAGAAGAAGTTAAGGACCTAACTTCTACAATGAGCAAAGGTCAAGGTCCTTGAGTACAATTAAAGTGTAGTACAATAAATAAAAACTATAATCTGAATATAATTACCATAAATTATTATGACGAGAAGAGAAAATTTGTGTTTTTTGAATTAACTACCACCGGATTTACTTTGAGAATAAGGAAAAATATGGGAATACAAGGCTATAACAATTGTTTAAAGAGTAATGTTATTTAACCCCACTGGGGTTACAACCCCAGTCTAGATAGCGTTAATTTGATATTAAATGATATGTAAAATTAAATAAATCATTTAATTTCACATTTCATTTAGCATATTATTTAGAGTCACCGAGTTCGGGGTTGCAACCCCAGTAAGGCTACATAGCATTACTCTTGTTTAAAGTAAAGGAAATATTGTTGTCATGGTCTCGTCAGATTGTTAATATCCTAGTTGGTCTCAAATTTTTCCTTGATATTTAAGAAATAGATAACTTTGATCCCATCTCCTTTAGGACACTATACTTCAACCCAGGTCCCTATTTCCTTTTTTTCTTCTGGATGCAGTTTCTTTGAAATCTTTGTTTGATCCTATTTATTATAAATAAGTTGATGTTAAAATACTTTGCCCCAAAGAAATAAAGAAACTACAATAGTAAACATGATGGCCCTCAGCTTATAGAATCGACTCTAGAAAAGTCTTAAGATGTCTAAAGTTGTATTTCATAAGCATGAATATATACCAGAAACAGAGAACTTTGTTAGAAGCTTTTCTTAGTGAACTTTACAAAGAAAAATGAAGATTTAAGTTGATTTGTTCATTAGTAAGTGAACTATACATACAAAATCAAAGGCTTCCCGATAAAACAAGGAAACTTTTGGTTCTAATTGGCTTCCATATTCCTTCCAAGTTCTAACCAAACATCCCCAAAGTTCTAGAGAAAGAAGTACTACTAGATGGATCAAACAGTTCAAAGCTCTAATCCTATAGACAAATCCACAAGTACAAAAGTCAGATGCACAAATTACAAATGTATTGGATGTCATGTAATTCTTATGAGATAGTGCCATCATTTCAATTCCTCCGTCTTACATTGCATGGAAAAGCACTTGATTGCAGCGAGAAATCCTATGTTGATTTGATTTAACTATATGCCTGAGAATTTTTTTGTCTTGAAAACAAAGAGGAGAAAAGGAAAAGGTGGAGGAACCTGAGATTTGTACATCTTAATCTCTGCAGTATGTCTGTTTTCGACATTGATGCTCTCGTAGTTTCCGTAAATTGTTTTGTCTGATTCCACTTCTGAACCGAGAGCTCCCTGAACATTTGGTTTCATTAGAGATGCTAGAGTGTTCTGAACTTTGTTCAACTGTTTTCTGCCTCAAGTATTCTACTGCCTGTGCCTGGACTGAAACAGAGTCCACAAAGAAAAATGATCTACATCAGACACAAAAGTCTCTGACTAAATGCTTTTAGGAAAGCATATACAATTAATTTTCATAAAAATTCAACCAACCCGATAAAGGGTTATAATATTTATATGCCATGCTATTTAAATATGCACAAGACCTTCAATAAATCACTAATAATTTTTATTTGTACTTAACTCCAGGCTAGCTCAGTCCAGAACTAAAGTGAATCAAAAGTGATGTCGAGCTCAAGCAAATATGTTGTGGCAGAGTCTAGCCTAATCACGAGAATCAAGTCGTAAGATATTTAATGTTATCAATTCAGTAGTAACTGTATTATATTCATAAAGTGTAGTGGAATCACAAAAGGAATTTTAATTCTGCGTGATACTTTGAGATAAGAATTCTGCATGTAAAGGGCTACTCATGCCACCATTTTAAATTTCTGCCGACGCAAATATAATTTCCATGATTTACATGCAGGTTCATATATATAAAATTTCATGCCGCCATTTTAAATTTCAGCCAACATGAATATAATTTCCATGTTTTACATGCAGGTTCATATAATGATTGCCTTACTGATTAACTTGTCTTTCTTGACCATGATCTTGCAACTATGCACAATAGATCACATAAGCCATATTGTATCAGTGTGTCTGGAACTCTATATTAATAATAGATCTTATGCAGTTTTCTGGATCAACCCTTACTGAGAAATCTCAACAACAATTGTCATTCTTTTTATATTCGAGTTTCTTTAGTGCTGCAGTCAACTAGAACTATGGATGCTATGTTAATATTCTATATTCAGAAAAATGAAGAGACTGTTATATCTAATTCAGCATGATAAACATATCTTAACAAAGTCTATCGTAGCAGGTTTCTAAATTTCTGGAATCAATGCACTGAGATTGATTATTATGTTTAGCACAAATAGATGACATATGAATAGTTTACTCCTTAGTCAAAATAGGCATATTATTAGCAAAAAAAAATTAACTCAAAACCCTGACATCGAGATTTTTACCTTGTATTAGTTTTGTTGATAAAATTCTGACCATATGATTTCACTCATTATGAATGATTTTGATAGTCTGTTCTGAAAAGGGCCATTAATTCATTATTTATTATGAATGATTTTGATAGTCAGTTCTTAAAAAGGCCATGAATTCATTAATACTAATAAAAAGATTCCAGAAGGTTCCGAATGCAACAGAAGTTCTTAAGCTTGATGGTAATGTAGTGTATGAAAACAAAGATGATAGTAAAGACCTTAGGGAAAAAAATATGTATTAGTTTATTGATTGATAGCAGATGCAGAAGTCAGAACGGACACCAAGTAATCATCCACATTATCTTTCATAGTTTCATCCACATCACACTTCACTTGTCATGCAGCTAATGCATTTTTCTTTAAAATCTACAATAATTTTAATCTTTCAAGATATACGACCTCAAAGTAGACCATACCAGATCGTGAAGAAGCTGAGAGTGCAGACACATCCTTGAGTTTCTTGATTTTCTCAATGAGATGTACATTGTGTAAATAGTGGTTTGTTTCAGGGCCAGATGCATGATTCACCTTAATGGAGACCAGCACCTTTTCACATGCCTTCAGAGAGAGAAAGACAAATGACAACGAAGTTTAATCAACCTTTAAACTATGGGTCACAACTTCTTCTCAATAAGTTCAAACAACACCAGAGAAACAGATAAATCAACTAGCAAAAGCGCAAATCTTTGATGTCAATGCTCAGTATCCGGTGAGAATTATATTAATCCATCATAAACTAAGTGTAAACACGGATTTAATAATTTGAGTGAGTAGATGAAATAGAATTTGAGAGCTATATCAAAATGTCCTTCAAAAATAGGCCGTTAATTACAGTATGCTCAAAAATGATTTTGCTACTTGCACATAAAAAATGTACATGATGGATTACATAATATGATGTGGTGGGAAAAAATTGAATAAAAAAGTTGATTGTGTATTAAACTGACAAACGGTAGAGTGTCATGTGGCATTGTGTAATCTATTATGTAAATCTTGATGTATATGTAGTAAGATCCGCTAAAAAAATGTGCAAAAAAGGATATAAATAGCCCATTTGCTAGAGGCTTTGGAAGGCTATGGGATAGTGGGGGCAGATAAAGGCATACTTAGGTACTGGGGGATGTGAGGGATTCTCTTCTTGAAATTGCTAACCATTGCAATGAGAGGGAGGTGGGGAAACTGGGATTTCTGTGTGGGTGATTTGGGCTGAACGGAATTATGTCCTACATGCTGCTGCCCCTCGAGAGCATAGCATTTTAGTGGATGTTGTAGCCCATTTGGAGGAGTGGACGGGACTAAAGACGATGGTGCAGCCAGCTGGTGGGACTTTCAGAGGGTCGGTAAGGTGGGAGGCACCTCCAGCGAGTAAACTGAAATTGAGCCCTTGTTTGATCCAATAAAATAATATTACACGCAAACCCAAAACTTTTCCTTATTTTTTAACCACACATTCTCCATCAATCTACTATTTCAAAATGCATTTTACACTAAAAATGGGGCTCAAACATGCTCAATTTGGATGTGGTGTTTAGGAAAAATTTGGTTTTACCAACTCAGGGGCTGTTCATCGCGACGAATTTGAGGTGGTTGTGGCATTCATGAAGAGAACAATGGGGTTATTTCCAGTCGAGGACGCGAAGGCGGTAGCAATGAGGGATGGCCTTCTATTTGCAAGAGATAATGGGTTCCAGGTGGCTATAAGGAGAGTGATTTCCTTCGTGTGGTACAAAGTCTTAAGAGAGATTTCCAGTATGCCTCGTATGCGGGAGTTTTGTGTGATATTTTTAGCTGTGGCACGTGTTGCTTCCTTCCCTGAGGGGAATATAGTAGCCCACAAGTTAGCTTCATTTTTTGTTGATTGGCAGTTGTCAGTGGATTGAATGTGTTCCTTGGTTTCTTTTGCCTACAGTTTGTGGCAATATAAGTTAATGAATTTCTTGTTTTGTCCAAAAAAATCACCCATTTGCTGAAAACGAAAGCTGCTTTCACAACCTTCAGCCAAAATCTTTAAGTTTTAGGAAAGAAAAAAAAATGTAGGAAATTAGTATTACAAAAATACAAATTACTGTATCAGATAACCTTATCTCAGAAAGAGACGTCACTTGAACATTTGGAAAAAGGAATATAGGAATTAAAACCCAGTCTTTTCTCATAGAGGAACATGGTGCCTAATCTCGGTCCTAGGCGATGCCATCCCAACAAACTTTAAGGTGTCTGTAAGACAAAACTTACAAAAATTTGAGTCTTTTTTCAATACTAAGTATCCATCAATATCACAAGAGGCATTTTATGAGAAAATAGCACCCACATTCACCTATCATAACAATTGATCCCCATATACTTAACCAAGGTTTAAAAAAGGTGAAACTAAGTACTGTGACGGTTTTTCTTTATGAGGCGAGGCGTAAGCCTCGAGGCGGATTGAGGCGTAAGCCTCACAAAAAACAAAAAATCTAAGTAAAAGAATTATAAAATAATACAAAAATACAAAAAAAATAAAAGTTTAAGCATATAGTAAATAGGATATATCATTAGTATATTGAGATATAGTCCACCTAAAGAAAGAAGATGTTTAGCAAAATAAAAGGCATTACAGAAGTTAGAAATCACTCTATTTGCAATGGAAAAATAGAAGCAGTTTAAACTAAAAAACAAACCTAATAATCTATACTATCATCACTTTACTAGCATAGTTAATGAAATCATCATCATATCTAATTTTCCCATCATCTTCTTCGCTACTCTCAATTTCTACAAAATCATCTTCATCTAGTTTTAGAGTTTATACAAGTGATTGGATGAAATCATGTGTGTTAATTATATAAATCAAAAAATTTATAAAATTTATAATTTCCAGATGTGTATATGAAGCAACTAATTGCATGCAAGATTTATTGAACCCTAAGGAGAAGAAAAAGAAAAAGAAAAAGAGAAGAGGAAAAACATACATGATGAACTGATGAAAAAGACGATACTCTTCTTGAATTCTGACTTTTGAATTTATGTTGAATCTGTTCCTTTTTGGTCCTCTAATTTCTGGCTGTCGTTTAGCTTTCTAGGTATTTTATTGTTTTGTTTGGGCCCAAAATGCCTTTTTAAATGAGTTTTTTTCTTTTTTAAGAAGGGCTCTTTCTGATTTCTTTTCATATAATTGAAAAATCAAATTTTAAATGAAGCGCACGCCTCAGATTTAGAGGCGTGAGCCTCATATTTTTATTCTCAAAAATACCGTCTCGAGGCATACTATATGAGCCTCACAGTAAGGCGCGCCTCACTACCGCCTTTTTAAACCATGTACTTAACATGGCTGCTCTGAACAAGTTAGATAGAGATTGATAAATGTCTAAGCAAGCTTTGACAGCTCGTGGGGTATACTCTATGACAGATTCCCTCTATTGCCTCTTACTAATGGTGTGATCAGGATAAGAACGCATTGGTGACTGCCTTAATTTGGAGATCAGTAAAATTCATTATTCGATACATACAGCAAAAGCCAATGCCGCAATGCAGTCACATATATCTTCATAGATGTAAGAGTTCTAAAGCAGAATAAGCTAACAACAAACCTTGTTTGCAATGGAGTAAAAGCCGTGATCAAGCAAATGCTCGGCAAAGATGAGCCATTCAGTGCATGAAACTTGAAGCCTGGGATCAGCGGTGGCCTTCTGTTCTCGCATAACCAATGCTTCATATCTCAAGGACAAGCAACTCTGCCAAAAATCAACTTGCAGACAGCATGTGTCATAAAATTGAATTATTTGTCTACACCCTCTATGAAGGTACTTCATTATAAAAAAGTAAGTATTCCTGGAAAAACTGAGAAAGAAACTGTTGAATAATGGAGCTCAAATATAGCCTTCTTATTCCACATTGAGCCACTTGGTCTTTCACATTATAGGTAAGGAAAAATTGGATGGCTCATTTAATTCAAATATTTACTACACGTGTGAAAGCAACAAAATCTTTTAACAATTGGAGAAAACTAACCAAAAACGTTGACAAATGAATTCACTACTCATCCAAAAGCTATACAAAGCTTCAGTAGTGAATGACAGAAATGAGAACAAAGCCTTTGCAAAGGCAGATAAATACAAAGAGTGTATTTTTGTATTCTTTTTTTCTTTAGTTGATATAGTGAAGAATTGGCATGGGGGGCAGGCGGGCAGCGGAGGTAGGCAATATTGCTGAACCACATTGAATTCTTGTATTTCGTGATTGGAATTTTTTTTTTGTTCTTCTCTTAAATTATTCCTTCTTTATTGAGTCCAACTGATCTAACGAAATTAGTAGCTACTAATTCCACTATTTGTTTGAAGTGTATTTCTTTCCTTTATATATGATCAACAAAACATGGCTTAAACTATTAGTAAAACATTTGGCATGTCTGATGGTATCAAACTATCAAGTGACAATGACAATAATATTGTGATGATAAAGACTATGAGTTTTCAAATATATTCTAAAATTCTGATGAAATTACTGCTAAGTTATATAAATAAAATATCAATTAATGTTAGATTACATTGGGTGTTCGGCCCTCGTTGCATTACAATGAACAATTACATTTGGTGTGATTAATTTTCTTATTCAATTCAAAGTGCTGTTGTCACCACCTTATGTCTCTACATTAGATTAATTTTAGAGAATGGAACAGAATAATACCTGAACATCACCAATAAGCGCGAAAACACGAATCAGAAAATCAGTACATAGAAGCTTATACTCAACAGATTTTTCTGAAATTTCTCGAAAGATTTGGAGCGATTCATCTCTCATGAACTCTGTCAACACCGATCTCACTTCCACCAACGATTTCACGTCTTTGGAAACTAAAAGTGATTCCAGAATTTGAAGAGTTCCATCATCGAAACTGCACAAATTAAAACGCGGATTTTTCTTTGTAATTACATCGCTTGGAAGAAAAAAATAATCAAACAACAGATGAAATCGGAATTCAGACCTTCGAGCTTTGATTTGGGAGCGAAAGAGGGAAATTTGCAGAGAGCGAGAAGTTACGCTATCCATTTTTACATTGAAATTAAAAGCTAGTGCGGTTGATTATTTCAAGTGGCCCCGTTTAAATAG